ACTCACTCACTCACTCACTCACTCACTCACTCACTCACTCACTCACTCACTCACTCACTCACTCACTCACTCACTCACTCACTCACTCACACACACACCACGCGCGCGCGCGCATACTCGTCATACAAACACATTCTTACTTTATTTTAGTTTCTATTGAATTCATGTTTTCGTTTTTTTGTTAATGCATATTATTATTATTATTTGTATTATTCTTCTCTATTATTTTATTTCTTTTTCATTTGTCAATCTTTTGGAACATTTCGCGAAAATCGTGTTTTGAAAATTACTCAACTTCGAACATAAACGGTGGCTGGAAAGCGTAGCTAGGGGTAGGGCTCGCACCATGATTTCTAATTATTTATTGATTCGATTTTTATCCCAAACATTGTGCGTCTCTTTTCGTCACATTCTTCATTTTCTATTATCCTTATTTTTTTTATCGACTCATATTACTACTTCTTCTCTAATTGTAAAACTTATTGATTAACTGACTTACAAAAATGATTGCATAATATTTAAAAATCGAAATATTTCTGTTTAAAAGTGGAGAAGAGGTAAAACCGGACAAGTGGAAGTAATTTAACTTATGTAAAAAAGTTGTTAAAAAATACTTATTGATTAAAATAGTGTAAAGTATGATATTCGACAATTTTTTTTCCATGAATTTTTCAAACAACAAATTAATCTATTGCATATTGTAATTCTCGACGATATGTACGAATTCTTTTAGTACTTATTACGCCAATTAATCAATTCTTTAATATGTTGTTACTTGTTCCGAGAGTTTTTAAAATCATCGTTTGAATTGTATACAATTTTGATGACAATCAAAGTGTATATATACGTATGAAATCCATGAAATACATTCAATCAATTTTCACAAAATACGATCTGTTCTGAAAACCGTAACTCGCATTTTTTTTCTCAATATACATAATTGCATACTTAATTCAAACAATCAATAAATATTTTTTAATGTATTTGCGATATTAGGAAGTTTCGTTCGCTCTAAATGAAAAATCATTCTATTTCAAAATGTGTCATCTTTTTTTCTCAGTTTATCGTGTGTGCTTCATTTCACATACGTTCATATTTACGCACCATAAGAGCGAAAATACGTATCCATGTGTGCGTTTCGAATGTGCGTTTCTTTCAAGAGAAAGGATAATTTAACTTTGACAAATTAAAAAAGAAAATCTAAGTTTTCGTCAACGAAGATTTCTTTTTTGTCGAGCTGGGAATCCAAAGGGTTTTCTAAACGAAAGCCACATTTCTATCGTCATTTTTTTTTCTCTTTCGCTTCTCATTTTCTCTTTCACAGAGAATATAATAAAAAATAATCATAAGGATTCAAGTCATCCGATTTTTTGTTCTTCTTGTCTTCACTTGTCATACTAGAGTAATAAGAGAATAGGCTAAAACAACTTATAGCAAAATTGTTAATTATGCTGTCGGAAATGATGAAAAATAATCGAGAGACTACGTCCTTCTATAACGTAGCCTAACTTTCCTTTACAGAGATCTTTCTTTTCTATCAGCTATCACATGATTACAATAATAATTAATAATAAAGTAACAGTGATTGTAGTAATGATATTCTAAAAATAATTATTAAAAAATAGTAGTAGTAGTAATAGTTTACCATATTATTCACAAAAATAATAATAATAATAATAATAATAATAATAATAATAATAATAATAATAAATGAATGGTTACAACTTACGAGACACGATCCACGAGCGTAGATTTTCGTGCATTAAGATCCATCCCGTGAAATATTGATTTTTGATAAAATAAACATCTCCTTCTCTCACACACTCACATTCTCGCATTCTCTAAACATTAAAGTTTAGATAGACATAGATCGATCGAATCGACGTATATATTTGAGGAATTTCGTTAAAGGAGGAAATAGTCGGAGCGGACATAATATTATTGATTGGTTGTGTGTAACCAGATGATAACTAAAATACATAAATTGAAATAAAACAAACGAGCTTTGAACCAAACACAAATCAGTTTAATCATTAAATAAAACATAATTTTTGTTGTTATATAATAATTAAATAAATAAATAAATAGTCAGTAGTGGTAGTAGTAGTAAGTAGTAAGTAGTAAGTAGTAAGTAGTAAGTTGTAAGTAGTAAATAGTAGTAAATATAGTAGTAAATAGATTAGTAATAATAGTAGGAGTAATTTGTAAGTAATAGCAGCAATAATTATAGAGGGTGATAAGAATGTAGTGGTAGTAGAGCGACAATAGGTAAGCGAATAAAGTAATTTCCCTTTTATAGCAACATAAAAGTAGATAGTAATAAGGTGTTTGAAAGTTACACGACGTAGTACTAGATGAAAGATACAAAAAATATACATAATTATAATTAATAGTAATGATAATGAGAATAATAATAATAATAATAATAATAATAATAATAATAATAATAATAATAATAATAATAATAATAATAATAATAATGATAATGATAATGANATAATAATAATAATAATAATAATAATAATAATAATAATAATAATAATAATAATAATGATAATGATAATGACGAGGATAGTGATGAAGACGATAAGAAATATTAATGATGATGATGATAATGATGATGATAGTAATAATAATAGATAAAGTTAAGATAGTACCTATCATATTATCAACGACGGGAGTAATATCACACAATATTCATCAATACATCCACACACTACTACATCCAGACACATACATACGGCTACAAAAATCAGTCATTATAGACAGATGTCGAATTTTGTAGTATCTAATAAGGAAATACTTCGAGCACAACGTGTTTTCTGTTATAGATAAAGAAGTTTTAAGTGATTCAGAGTGATATAACTCTAAAATTGATTGCATTCGTTATCAAAAGAGTGACTCCGGGTTGTATTTTTGTATTAATTGTTATTTTTCTCGTCACGACTAAACGAGAAACACAAAATTACTGCATAATATTTTGTACTTTCTCGCGACATAAAGTTATTATTTTATTTCTATGATCAAAGTTTATTAATTTTTATTTCATTTATATAATAATAATGATTCTTTTCGCGTATGTATTGATATATGAATAGACCTAATACGTGAGATCGCGAAAATACGTACGACATTCAAAATACGATAAGTTGTCAAATAAATAAAATATTAGAATAAATCATCGGTCACTTGAATATACATTTTTACATGATTTTAAGAGCTCGGAAAGATATCATCATATATTATATATATCATCATATCATCATGTCATCATATTATCATCATATATCATATATATATATGATATAGTGTGTATATATATGATATGATATATGATGATATATATATATCTATGAAGACTGAAAACCACAAATCGAGTCAGCGATCTTCTCTTCTTTTTTTTATTTTTTTTATGTTTTTTTTCTGTATCTTTCCTCTTTTAAATCGTCGTAGATAGATGATCGATTTCATTTCCTGAATTTATGGATCTACTATCTTTCCTCGCTCCCAGACTAGACACAAAAAGGTACACATAAATAGGACAACATACATATTAATATATACGCTATATGTGTATATATATGGATGTATTAACTAACGTAAACCTAAAAACAGAGAAGACAGAGAAAAAAGAGAAAAGAGAAAAGAATAAGAAAAAAAAGAGGTGAGGAAAATAAAAGTGTAAATTATAGCGTTAAGAAACATTATCTTTGATTAACGAACTGATACGAATCCTACATTGTTTATTATTACTTATTTTTTACTATTTTTGTATTATTTCATTTAATTTGATTGTTTAAGTATTCTTTCACTCTCAGTCGGAATGACTTCGGATCGGCAACGTGAATAAACGTGTAAAACTTTTCTATCACGAAACGAATACACGTATTTTCTTTCTTACCGTCGCGAACTATGGTTAATAATAATAATAATAATAATAATAATAATAATAATAATAATAATAATAATAATAAAATAATAAAATAATAAAATAATAA